AATCACTACAAAGAAATTCTCTACAGAGCTAGAATTGTAAGTACAGAGGAACACATGTACATTGTTGAATTTGGGAGTTTTTTTCGCAACCAAACAACTTTACACAAAAACAATCAAATCACAGTTAAATTTTAGTTTTAGGCTGTATCTTAATAAATGAGCACCTCAATAAACATTCTGTATTTTTTCTTCAGTTTTATTTTAAATTTTAGCCAAACAATTGCTTTAAAATACCCTTGGACTAACTAACACTATCTTACAAATTACTTACAATATTTTTATAGTAGTGCTTTTGACAACACAGTCACTACCTACAAACAAAAGTATTATTAAAACTGTTCTGACATAATTCCTAGAAAATGTGAGTACAACAATAAGAATTATTGTAGTGCAGTATTTACTGTGCTTTAGTAAATGTGATGTGAATAACTGCAATTTTCCCCAATTATTTTCACCAATAATTCATTAAGTGCATTATCTACTTTTACTTCCAGGAACTCTGCTTTGAAAACACCAATTCAGGGAGGCAAATAATAAAAGTATGTCTCCACTTGTGCAACTGTTACCTGTCCTCCAAGTCACACGGTGGAATACAGCCAACATATACGACCCTTCTACAAAACAGATACAAAGATTTCTAAAGAAAACACAGATAATGTCATAGTCCATGAGCTCATTAACAGCATTCAGCTAGAACCCAAACCTTAAAGATCACCATCTACACTCTGTACACTCCTTATGAAAACCAGAGTCATGGCAAAAAAAAAAAAAAAAAAAAAAAAAAATCCAACTACTGATACAGCATCAGTTTCCTCCAAGACTAGCAGCACAGTAATTTTTGTAAAATCGCAGCCCTCCCAAGGAATGTAGTAGCAAACAAAGTTCACCGGTATGTATCATGGACTTTAGGCTGTATTCACAACTCTGCCAGCACCGTTGAAGAGCCTACATGACAACTCATCAACCTCCTCTGGCAAAACCTGAGGTTGAGGTTTCACATTCTGGGGCAATTGCATCACTTTCTTCTGCTATGTTATTTTTCAGTTGGATCAGTTCCCCACACAGCTGCACGTTCAGCTGTGCCAGCACAAAGAACAGAGCAGCAACAAGCAGACAGGGGGTGCCACTAAAGACACACCCAAGGAACAACCAGTTTGGAAACCTCTGAAGCAATCAAACAAAAAAAAAAAAAAAAAAAAAAAAAGCATCAGATTACAGTTAAGAAAATGCTACTGAGGAAACAGAATAGTTTTGACTGGGAGGAGTGAACATTCTCATTTTCTGAAATCCTGAAGCCAAATTCTGACCAGTAATGATCAAGACGATGAACACTGGGCACCAAAACCGCATGCCTGCTAAGCTGAATCAGTCTGCCTTAGTTATAAAGCCTTTGAATACAAGTCAGTGGCTCACAGTATTAAAAATCTGCAAAAATACCTCCATACCTAGCCTAGGACCTTCTCCTGAGAAAGAGCAGAGGTGCAATTAACAAGACAACTCAATTTCATGGCTGCAGGGAAACCTTTTAGCTAACAACAGCAATTCAAACATACTGCATTTCAGGAAAACTACATACTGCAGGTCACCTTTGTATATTTTAAAGGCTAGGAAAAAACATTGTGTTACTCTAGTCTAACCTCAGATATAATGCAGAGAAGAATTAACCTCATCCAGTAATTTCCAATGTAAATTCACATATTTTCTTGGAGACAAGTACTTTTTTTATTAAAAAAACCCCCATACTAAATCTGGACTTCAATGGCTAAAAGTGACAGAAAACATAATACACTTCAAGAGAAATTACTACAACAGGATTCATTTTAAAATCTGAATATATATACATACATATATATATATATATGCATGCTAGATGTATTTAGATTTCAGCAAGGCATCAGCCATCTCCACATTCAAAGGTAACCTGCCCATAACAGATACTCCCTGCATACAGGCAGCAAGGGCAGCATTTGCCTGGTTAGTTCCACTAATGACATGCATTAATCTGCCATCAATCTTTCTCAAGATCCCTCTTTTCTGGTGTATGTGTCCTAATTCTTATAAAGAAATGACCTACAGTCTTTTTTACTACATTTATAAGGTGCTAGCTTCATGAAAATACTAACACACAACAGATACACCCAACTGAATGAGCCACATTTGTCAACATATTTGTGAAAAAATGACAGATCTAAACAGAACAAACTATACACAAAACCTAACAAATCTGTATCAACCAAGCATTGCTTCTTCTCTTTATTACTGATCAGATTTCTGCAATGAACCAACAATTTTGTTCTACTTTGCACAAACTATACACTTTTAAACAAACACTACCACATTTGTCTTTAGGAAAGAAAGACACACCCTTCTACATTATATACAAAGGTGTACACATTTATTAAAGATATTTAATTGAATAAATAATAAGCTTCCAAGGAAAAAAAAAGTTCTTCAGCATTAGCTATGCTACTATCTTGTGATATTTTATTAATTACAGCCAATTTATTAAATACATCAACTTCTCCACAACTTTGACCAGGACTAACTTCAGACTAGACAGATGTATATTTCTGAAGACGATCCTGTTCCAGCATTTTACACTTCTGGAACTTCAGGACTTAGAAGTTGGATAAAATATACATTAGCAAGATGAAAACATTTCTGAACTCCTTTACTTTTCAGTTCCCAAGCATTTAAAATTTAACTATAATTGCAATTAGAATATATGATGATTAAAGTAACAGAATTTATAGGATGGAATAAAATTTATTTTTACTTTAAATTTCTAATACAATGCACCATCACTTTAGTTTTCCAGTAACAGTAGTAAATTAATTATATAACATTTACAACTTTTAGCATTGTGGGTAATACTTTTACAGTCTTTGGTACTGAAGTTCAACAGCTGTTGTGAACATGTGTCCCTCAATAAAAAAAGCCTTTTAACTTCCCTTTTCTCATCAATTAAAATTCCTCCAGTATTATTTTCACTACTACCCCATTTCTTTGAAAACAGGTACATCTTATATATATATATATATAAACTTCATTACCAACAATATTTTTTCACTTCTTGAGACTCCTTTCATGACTGAGATGTTACTTTAAACAGGCATCTAAGAAAATACGAAGTATCTGAAGTATTCAGGTTTTTAATACCTAAAATGTTTCTTACCACAGAGTTCTGCTCATTCTTCTTTACAGTTCTGGAGAACTGGTATTTTCAACCATCATTTGTATTTTTCATGCTTGTTCTTAAAGCTATATACACAGTACAAAGCAGACTCCCCATCAGTAAACCTCACCCTCTCATCCACAGCAACACCTAGTTCTGTCACCCTTTATCTGTTACCAACTCTACAGCAAACACAGTTCAGCTCACAATGCTGCACTGTCTTTGCCAAGTAAAATATATCCAAAAAGCCATACCGCACTAACATCATACCAAGCCGTATTAGGGTAATCAGAAACAGCAGTGTAAGTTGTTCGCAGAGGGGGTGGTTGAAATTTCTTAGAATACAATAAAATAAAAACACGGTATCAAGACTGTTCTTCAGCAAATTCTATAGACAGCATATTGCCATGTTCTCTTCAGGTTTTTCTATGTCTCTGGAACTGAAAACACCAGTGGATGAGATGTGGGTACAAGTTGGGGGTTCCTACAACAGTGGTAGAAGTTGCAGGTACAAAGGTCCCTAAGCTACACATACATTCAAGAGAGACACAAATGTTTTGATCATTCAAAGCCTTCTGAATTTAGGTAACTGAAAATTCCTCCCTAGTAACATCAAACCTAAATGTTTGTCACCTAAAAAAGTGAAGGTTCCAGGAATCCTACCACATGCTGGTTTATGTCAGACATAGTGAACAAGTGGACACATAGACACACTGTTATGAATTGGTCCACAGCTAGACTGAATTACTAAGCAGTACTTTTGAACTACTATCAGTTATAATTTCCCTATTTCTACAACCCAAGACAATTGTAAACCAGTATTTTGGTGTGTTTGGAAAAAGGTGTGGGGTGGGAGTAGACATTTTTGGGGTGGAGGTGTTGTTTATTTCTTACACAAAGTTAAGCAGAATTGCATTCATATTAAAAACTAAAAAGCAACAACAATAAAAAAAGACATCCCATGAAAAAAATTAAATATTCTGACATGTTGTAATTAGCTAGGTACAGTAAGATCCAAAAAGGCTTTCTAGTCATCCATACCTTCCACAATCACTGGAAGGGAGGCAGCTAACAGACACTGGGCCTGACACACAGCATGATGTAAGTGAAAAGAGGACAAGCTGCATGCCTAGCCCTATGTCTCATTCAGCAACACAGCAGAATATCTTTGGGAAATCCACACTGCTACCAAAAATGCACTTTACTCACCCACAAGCAACAACGCACAAGTGTACATAAGGTTCTATGTTTACTAGCTGCAACGATGACAAAAAACATTTAAGTAATTTCAAAGACTGGTGAAGTAGACACCTATAAAAAAAACTCCACACCCCTACACCCATTCTTCCACTCAGTACTTAAAACAGAATTTGAAACATACTTTAAGTACACATTTTTGCTTTTGAATTAACACTTTCAGTCTAGCCTTACCTTTTGAGATTGTGGACATACATAAAAGCACCAAGACAGGCTCTCATCCTATGTACCTGTGTCTCACTTCCCATAGGAAACCTTCAGAGGCATAGGTTTAACTGCTTGTACAGTCATGTAATAATGACCCAAAAAAATGAAGTAGGCAGTGCGGTACTACTGTACCTGAACCAGTAGGTTTTTTGGTTTGTTTTTTTCAATTAAAGAAAAAGAACAGAAGTTAGAATACAACTGCTTTTGTAAAGACATTAGTCTTATTCTGTTACAGACTTTGAAACATAATACAAACTGAGAAAACAAGTGAGTTAACCTAATGTTTTTCATTCGACTGTGTTGTCTACACAAAATGACAATCTCACAATGACATTTATCAGAAGTACTAAAAAAACCTTACCTTTTGGATAATCTTCCAATAAGAGGTTGAAGTGACCTAACTGACAAAAGAAATCAGACTCGACCTTTCCTTCAGCTTTCAAAATTAGCGATTCATAGCAGCGAACAGCCTGGGAAAAAGAAATACAAGGTTTTCAAAATTCTGCATTTAACTAAAGGAGATTAATACATTTTCTGAGAAATAAACAAAGTTTCTTGTTAATCTGCAAGGCAATAAGTCTAAAAATACTCTCAATAACATAGCTAGAATTACTTTTCAAAGAAGAAATGTAGTATTTCAGATAGAACAGACTTGGAAGTTCACAGATTCTAATGCAAACTGACAGCAAATGAACAATAGAAGTTTCCAGTGTGGATTCCAGTAACATTCAGTTTCCCAAACATAAACCAAAACTCTAACATACATAATTTTTAATTTAAAAATCAATGAAATGCAAAAGGATTGATTTTATTTATTATTTCCAATCTGCAAGACATAAACCTCTCTGGTTTTATTCTCATTCTGTGGGGTTTGTTTAAAGGATACACATTCCATTCTACCAGTTATTGCACTAGTTTTTGCTAAACTGAAGAATACGCTACCTCAACATGCTTGCTTAGGCAATTTATATACCTTAGCACATACTTCCCAGTGTCATATAGTTTACTATCATCTACTTGCTACACAGTTACTGTAGGCTAAGCAAAGCTAAAGTTAGAAACATGAATCTAATTAGAAAGGAATTTTACTTTTGAGAAAAGTTGCCCTAGAAGTTTTTATGCTGCACACAAAATCAAAGTATGTTCTGCACTACAAACGCACATTTTTAATAAACTGAACTGATACCTTCTATTCACCATAATGGTCATGATCTTTAACCTATTGTATTCTTACCTTATGACCCTATTCAAACTTTGGGAACGAATAAATAAATGAAACCAGTTTTCCTACTTTTTAAACTTCCAGTTTCTTCATTTTAAACATACTAGCCATTAAAATGAAGTAGCTGAATATACTTAAATGGGAGGGAAGGTCCTTTGCACCAGCAGAAGACTTCACAGTTCTCAAAAGCTTGACAGACTTCCAATGAATTTTAATTCCAGCTGATTAATCCATGACTTTCACCAACTCATGGTTTGATTATGTTTCAAATTTGGTTGCAATTATGGACTCCTTGATTTTCATATATTACAGTATTCAAAGACCTTAATACTTAATCTGAAATAACAAGCTTCGTTATTTTATTAAAACTGGAAATTCAAAAAGGAAAAAAGATTAATCTACCCTGTAATATGTAAATCCAAATCCTAAACTAGTAGTCTTGCCCATGTTTATGATATGCTTCATGTACACTTGTATTAATCATCAAAATGAGAAATGCCAACAATAAACTGAGGAAATGTTAAGAAATAGTTAAAAAATACCTGTGGAAAATCCAAATTACTGATCTAATCTGTATTTTCATTTGGCATTTTTACCTTGCTATGCTAGTTATAAAAGTAAACAGTGAGCCATAGTAAGATAGCTCTTGCTGTACTCAGTGGACACAAAGCCATGTATGCAACCAGGTGAGCAGATCTCAATTTGTATCCCAAGCTTGAGATGTGTTACATATGCTTTCACCTACCCCCCATCCCAGAATAGCCTTATTTTATGGCTATTTTCAGAAATAAAGTTCTAATGGATAAAACCAAAGTTATGCTGCTGCACAACTGCAGTAAAATGGGTAATATCTATATTAAATCTGTTAGGTGTATGTGTGTTTTTAACATTATTTAATAAAACCATTTAAATTATGTATTTCAAACTGTAGCTATTTGGCCATATTCTGAAGGTATAAATTGAGACATGTATTTGCCTCTACATCAAAGAACTGCTGCAGAATTTTTCATTCATGCTGCAAGTTTTGCCTTCGCAAACTGCACTGGAACGACTGGAATTCTGTTGACAGTTAATCAAAGCTACTACTCCTTTAATTTTATTCCCACAGCTGTGAATACCTCTTGAAGTCAGCTCTCAATCTTAATGAAGTGATACTCTCAAATCTTAATGAATACAATCCCTGGAATCAGAAGCAAAGCACAGAAGTCCAAAGTGAGTTTCTTAAAATTACTATCCATGTATAAATCAATTCCCAACATTCAGGCTCACCAACTGAACCTATTCCCATCTGCAAATGTTTAAATGCAGAATCTTGGGGTTTTTGCCCTGTTTCCTCTCCCCACTTTCTGGCCTCATCTCTGGATTTGTACAAATTGTAACATAATTCTTGCTGATGCCCCTAATGTTACCATCACAGATTAATTTGCAGCTAGACCTCCCATTTTCTGATGAAATGCAATACCTGCTGCAACCGCTGAAAAAAAATATTCACACTATGACTTTTTTTAAATTAATATTTTGTCTTTTACAATTCAGTCACTGTTCAGAATATACAGAAACAGCTACCACAACAGGTAGCTTACAAAAACTGCTGGAGAGGAAGTTAAGGTAGTTTATTTCCTGAATTAGATGGCTATAGGTATTTAAAACAAAACTTGACTTTATGAACAAATATAACAGAATTTTTCTGTATAGATATTCAATGAAATGACAAATCACAAGCACTTCGACCCTTAACACTTCCCCAGACCCTTTTCAAGTAAATCCTCATTAAAAGATGTATCACAATTATCTGTAAGCACTATAAACAGTGAGGATACAAAAAGTTGTGTCCAAGTCTTTCACACAACTCAAATCAACTCTCAACAAGGCTGATTTTCCCTCTGCCTTAGAATACACTTTGAAGATACCACTAAGGCATCTTACTAACGCCAGCACAAGGCAAGACATAGGACATCAGAGCTGCAAAACAGAATTTCCCTTTTAAGTAACAGTTAACTGTTATTGTAAGAGCAATTCAACTACACCATTAAGTACAACCTCTCAGTGGATCTCTAATCTATTTGCAATATTATCTAGAAAACACCTATATTTATGCAAACTAAAATTATGAAGCTTGTTTCATATGAATTTTTAAAATTCTTCTAGCACATTCTAAGAAAATGGAACAGAAACTAAGAGCAAGCTTTACTTTCTCAGCAGGAACACCCAAGTCAACCTCTAAGTCTCTGGAGTATGAGCACACTGATCAGTATGTGGCTCTTGCTTTTCCTAGCAGCCAAAGCACATTCATATAGACAACATAATTTATCTAACTCTGGCTTTGGACAAGAAACTTTCCTCCCCACCAAACCCCTCCACAAACATCTTAGGAAACGAACAAGTATTTTTTTTGCATTGTCTCTTAGTTGAATGAACCGATGCAAAGCGTTTTGAAGAGCGAGGTCACAACTACACGTATCTGTATATGGTTTCTTTGAAGGAATAATCAAAAGATCTTATGTTGGTGGATCTGTAACTGCATAGGCCATCTATGGCACTACTTGTGCAATCCATTTAGATCACCCTGAGACACTAAGAAGTTTAAGGAAGTTAAAAACCCCTCAGGTCTTTCAGTATTGTTATTTGTCCACATTGTATGGATTTCTAAGTGTACTTAATGGAGCCAGCCTTGAGAACTGCTAGTATTGACAAATTAACAAGAAAGAGAAAGACCCTGAAATGAAGATTGCTACACAACACCACACACTTTCTTCCCTTTGTTCAAGGCTGCCTGTAGATAAAAGGGAAATCTGAAGAATTTAGAAACTTGGCAAAATAATCCACGCAGCTGACAACCAAAGACAACCAAAGCAGAAGCAGGAAACAAACACAGGAATGGCTGCAGGAAAAGCAGCTGGTTTGTACGATACTAAAAAAGTAACAATACTCATGTTGTTTACCACCTGCTTCATTATAAGCAAACTGAAGTAATACACTATATTGTCAATGCTTCTGACATGACACCCCTTATGACATCATAGTCCGTGACTGGGGGCATTCTGATTTCACAAATTCAATCACCAATTCTTAGGACAAATTTAAATAAAATACAGTGAAGAAGAAAAAGGTGTAGTATATTTGTCAACTCAGAAAAAGCTAGCAAAACATTCATATGTGTTCACCAAAGGAAAAAAATAACTCCATTATCATCTTTAAAATGCCTTACTAAATCCCTGTATGTTTGCTACTTATTATTCCAAAGGTAAAGGAAGCAGAATATTTTTTCTCTCTGTTCCGAGAACATTCCCTTCCACCCCACCCCTCAAAAACCCCAAACCAAACAAAAACAACCCCATAAAGCAAATGCCAGTATAGGCTATTATTAATTCAATGTCTTTTCATGAAGAAAAGACCCTGGAGTTGGGAATATACTATAACCAAAACAAACAAACAAAAAAACCCAATCCAACAAATAAAACCAGAATCCTAAATACTGTATATAGAAGTCACCAATCATATTACAGCTCTACTTCATAAAGGAGAAGGAAATGCTATGTCATTTCTACTTCAACTATTTGAAGAAAAAACTTTATCATTATCACTGGTTGTAATTATTTGTATTATACAGCCCAAATTCAAATTACTGATAGACAACTGTACTAAAAAGAATATAGCTCTTCTGGAAAGTTTCTAAAGAAAATGATGTAATAATGCTCTTTCTTACTCATGACAAGCATGACCTACTAAGAAGAATGTAGCAGAACTAAATAGCCAAATATGACAAATTGTTAATTATTAATTCTTTAATATATTAATGATACGAAAACAGAGGAGTGCACTGAGTCAGCAAATTCTTACTTAAAACATAAAAAAACCACTGACAGCTACAGAAAACTACGAAACTAGCAATAGAAACTGTTAGCATGGCAACAGCTGGGCAGTAATATTCAATGAAAGAAATTATATGAATTTTACTGGATAATAAATTAACTGTTCAAGAAAAATAATAGTGGTTTAATGCAGACAACATAGTGTAAAATTACAAATTCAAAGCCTCAAGGTGTTCCTAGAACCTTAAAGTTCACAACAGAGAACACTACTGTATACACAATAAGCCTTCCATGGGGAGGGGTGAGCAATGATACAAACAAACAGTTCCTGCTTGCTTTCTTCTTCTTCCTCTAGAAAGCAATAACCTGAATGGATGGGCTCTGTGAACAGGTAATGAGAACTGGAAGCACAAAAATATTCCATGTGAAAAAATCT